TGTTTTTCTTATACATTTTATTGTTGGATGTAACTGGGACCCTGTGTTCATAATTTCGCTCCACCACATGTACCACATGAGGTGCGAATGACAATAAAGAATCTCTGACTGACTGTGACTCTGATATATTCTTGTTCCATTATTTGGGGACCCAACACAAAGAAGATAATGTCTCTATGTAGGAGCTAAAGGATGGCGTACAAAGCCTTATGCTAACGTGTGTGGGCATATGTTCTCAGTAATGATTTGCTAATGCTATCAGGTCTATATGTGCTGTCTAATGACTCTCTAACAATATCACACTGTCCCTGGATTATGTTAAAAGCCTCCCTGCTTCAGTAACAGTCTTACTAACCTGGTTAGTAGATCCCAGAGATGGCTAATGCTAACAAACTCACTTATGGTTTCACATGACTGCATGTGAGAAGCTAATGTTGTATTATAAAGTCTGGAGACAGTTTACATTTACTCTGTTCTGTTTTAGATTTTAACCATGATATAATACTATGTTGCATTTTGTAGACTTTTTAATGTCATTTGAAAATATAATTGCTTTTCAAAAATACCTTCCAAAGTTAAACAAATAATTTTTATTTGAATATTGTGTTCACAGACTTTTTAGGCGTAGAATTTTTGAATCAAGTGAAATGTGGTACTGTTTGCTGATAAATGTATGCTGCTTGTGTTTTCAGCATGCTGCGCAGTAACCAGATCGGCTGCATTGATAATGGCACATTCACAGGTTTGAGCTCCGTCCGTCTGCTGTCACTTTACGACAACAAGATCGCCAGTATTACCCCCGGAGCCTTCTCCACTCTCCACTCCTTATCTACCATGTAAGTCCTGAATACCTAAATCTCAACCTGTCAGAGGCTGAATTCATACTGTAGCATGAAGATGCGCTCAAATAACTATGACCCTTGACCCTTGGGTGACTTCCAGACTCACCATAAACTGTTTCCTTTCAAGTTACTTTTGACTTTAATATTTTCTGGTGGTTTTTCACACGTTCACTGTCCATGGACACATTCAGCTACAATCTGACTAATGTTTACCTTACTTTTCCTGTTTCAAGAAAGAAAAACAAATCATTAATAAAAATTGTTTCATTTGATTATAACAGGTGTGAACATGAATGGTTTTGATTATTGTTTACAGTCATTATTCATTCAACCTTTATTTATACAGGGTAATCCCACTGAGTCTCTGAGACTCATTTACAAGAGAGACCTGGTTTTAACAGAGTGATGACAACAGTAGACAATTAAGACAACTGTAGACAATCATAAAAAAAGCATATAAATAAAGAATAAAGAACAAATAAAGAACCTTGAATCCTGGAATCCTTGAATATAAATTGAGAAGAACAAATGAAAGAAAATGGTATGAAAAAAGAAACAAAAACAGCTAGGTTGTAAGGCGATGTAGAATGGTAAAAACTGGACCAGGAGTCGTCTTTTTTTTTTTTCCAGGAACTTAGCAGATGTTTTGAAGCCACTTAAGGTCAAGGTGAGATCAAGGTCGAGAGCTTCAGGTCTTTTTGCAAGATATTCCAGGAAACGGGAGCGGAGTAGGAGAAGGCCCTTTTGCCTAGTTAGGTCCACATTTCTGTAGTAATATGGGGTGTAGGTATATCTTTTGATTATCAGCTATGAGTTAAGCTCATAAGATATGCATGTATTATGCAAATAACCTCATTGTTTTGGCACCACCTCTCTCTTGGAGAGGAAAATCAGTCTCTATTTACCACAAATTAATGTAAAATTTTCTCCGGGAAGATGGCGTTGCTGTACATGGCCTGCCCTCCACCTCTGTCTGCAGTGATTGTGTTTTTTCAGTTTTTGTCATTTTTCACCTATGACATCGACTCACTGCTGGCTTATGAACGTCATCAACTCCTAATTCTCCGACTATCTGCCGCCAGTCTCGCTTTGTTTGATCATAATGATCATAACTCTGCGCCGCCCCCCCCCCCTCCCCCTGGACCCCTACTTCTGCTTGAAGAAGTTCCTGTTTGAGCATGGACTGTACGTTCCTGTTTACCTCCGCCGTGGTATCCTGCCCGCTTGAAGACATCGCTCCAGGTGCGGTGGAAAACGGGCCGGCCGTCTTGTGAGGATCAAAGCCTGCCGGGCTGCTGCTGTGGCTTCCTCTTCAACTGAGGACCACATCTTAAATCAACTGTCCTGGCGCTGCGCTAATCCACCTGAGTCCTTCCCAGTCCCACAGGTCGGGTCGTACTTCCACAGCAGACCTGTTCGCCGCAGCTGGGCTTCCGGTCATTTGAGTTGCGGGTCAAACTCCACAAATCTGAGATCACTGGTCTTAACTTCATGGACAACTTCTCCTGCTGTGAATCCTACAAGGATTGCCCTAATAAACGCCAGGTCTCTGGCTAATACAACGTTCATCTTGAATGACTTTTTCTCCTCCACCGGTCTGGACTTCTTCTGCATGACTGAGACGTGGCTCTCCTGTGATGAGTTCATGGCCCTGTTGAAAGTTTTACCACCGGACTGTTCTTATTTTAATGCTCCGAGAATATCAGGCAAAGGTGGTGGATTATTAACCATTTTCAAAAAATGTTGAAACAGCAAACTGGTATAGATACCAGCTATTTTTTTTTAGCTTCGAACTGCTGTGTTTTGAAGTGGGCCATTCAAATCCTGCTTTTTCTGCTCTGTTATATAGGCCACCCAAATATAATAAGGACTTCATGGCTGAACTCTCTGACTTTTTAACTTTGATCTTCCTCAGATATGACCGGGTTTTGATTCTTGGAGATTTCAACCTACATGTCTGTTGTCCTGAAAATCCGCGGACTCAGGACTTTCTAGATCTGATCCAGTCTCTTAACTTTGTCCAGAATGTTGCAGGACCAACTCACCAGCATGGCCACACACTGGATTTAGTGTTAACCAATGGTTTATCCGTTTCTGATTTAGAAATTGGGGATGTGGTTTTCTCAGACCAAAAACCCTTTTCTTTCAACAATTCTTTTGTCAACGAGTCCAAACCCCCTCCCCCTCCAGCAAGGCCTTGTCAAATATTAACCCTTCCACTGCTGCTCTCTTTTCCTCTGCTTTTACTAAAAACTCTCTCTGTCTCTGAATCCTCTTACATCAACACCCTACATCAAGGGACCTGTGCTAAGGTGCTTGACCTAGTTGCCCCATTAAAAATTAGGCATCCAAAGTGCACTCCACACCCTTGGATGAATGAGATCACTTGAGCAGCCAAACGTCAATGCAGAAAAGCCAAACGTAAATGGAAGAAGGACAAACTTCACGTTTCTTTTATCATGCTAAAAACATGTTACAAAGAGTACCAGGCCACCGTTAAATCAGAAAAAAACAAATATTTCTCCAAAATCATTGCCTCGAATAGCCACAATCCCCGCGTTCTTTTCAATACCATTAACACCATTTTAACCGTGCCTCAGTCTGCCAGCAGGGAGGTCTCTGCAGTTACGTGTGACAACTTTGCCAGTTTCTTTGTTAAAAAGGTTGAGTCGATCAGGTCACTGATTCCTCACACCACAGCTGACCCCTCTGTCTTTGTCCCCTCCACATCAGTCTTGAACCAGTTTGAACCCTTTTCCCTGAGAAAAACGTTCAATACATAAACAACTGGACTTTAGTTGTAACAGAAGATGTTTCGCTCCTCATCCAAGGAGCTTTCTCAGTTCAATGAGCAGTAAGTGAGAGATTCAGGTTATAAGGCTGAGTGAGATAAGACACACACATATGTAGATTTGACAAGTCACACCTCAACACCTTAACAGTAGGGGTTTCTTAAGGTCTTTGTTACTCTAATTCACAGATGAAACCCCTCTGTTCCTATCAAGTGTGAAAACCGGCTGCAAATCTGTCTTAAAGTTGCATTATAGGTTGAGGAGCAAAACAACTTCTGTTACAAATAAAGTCCAGTTGTTTTTGTATTGAACGTTTTTTTTTATTTTTCATGTCCTGTATGACTGGCAATCTTCACCAGCATAGAACAGAAAAAAATGTTATTCACATTGTAATACTTCACATAATTTCATTACAGTGATTGAAAACAATCAAAATTATTCATGTTCACACTTGTTAATCAAATAAAACAAACTTCATTAATGACTCGTTTTTCTTTCTTAGAAACATAGGAAGAAATAATATAGACATTAGTCAGACTGTAGCTGACTCTGTATCCAAGGACAGGAAACGTGTGAAAAAACATCACATATTATTGAAGTCAAATGTGATTTTGAAAAACATGATTCATGATGAGTCTGGAAGATGAATAAGGGTCAGGGGTCATAGTTAGAGCAGTGCAACTTCATGCTACATTGTGATGGGAGGTCAGATGATTGGGAGCAGCCTGAGAGAGATTTGATGGTTTTCCAGAATCTTTTAGGATCGTTTAGATTTTGGAGGGCTGAGATAAGGAATAATTACGTTTTGCAGCTTTGATGGAAGTTGTACATTTATTCCTTGTCTGCCAAAAATTCAACCAATCAGTGTCTGAGTCAGAATTTTTCGCTGCAGCCCAAAGACGATCTCTCCTGTACAGGAGGTCAGCTAGCTCAGGAGTAAACCAGGGGCTGCCTTGTCCTTTTATTCTGAATTTATGGAAAGTAGCATTTTTGTTTACAAAATAAATGAAACTGTTATGGAAATAGTTCCAAGCGGTGTTCACGTCGTCGGTTAATAGAATATGGTGCCAGTCATAGTGAGATAAGTCCCAGAGGAATGACTGTTCACAAAAATGTTTCAAATCCCTTGTTTTGAATTGATCTGGGCTTAGGGAGTGGAAGTTTATTGTCTATGAGAGCCACTATTACACAATGATCACTTAAAATATTGACAAAAACATATAATGGGAATTTGTGAGGCATATTTGTTAGAAATAGATTTAAGATGGAAGATTTTTCAGGACAGTTATTGTTCCATCTGGTGGGAGAGTCAATGAGTTGGGACAGATTAAGTGACAGGCAACATTCCTTGAATTTATCACAGAGGGGGTGGACTTTTCCCAGTTGAAATTAAAATCTCTGGCAAGTAAAACCTTTTTGAATTGTATATTAATTATGAAGTCTATCAGGGAGAACAGAGCCTCAGGTGTTGCTGAGGGAGGGCGGTAACAACCCACTACAGATAAGATCTGGCCTCCATTCAAAGTGATGCTTACAGCTAAGGCCTCAAATTAGTTTCAGATTGTTTTGGCTGACACAAGACTAGAATCCAGCGTTTCTCTGATGTAAATAGTGACACCCCACTCCCCACATTTTTTTGATGATCACAGCGATAGATATTAAATCCATCGTTTGCCAGGAAATTATTCAAGACAGATTTGTTTAGCCAGGATTCAGAAATGTAGATTACATCATCCCCAGAAAAATGGACCAGAGTTTTCAAAGTGTCATTTTATCTCAAAAAACTATGTGTGTTTACATGCAAAAAATGAAGTTCTGACAAGTTTTTAAAATCATTTGGTGTGCTGTAATGAGTGAGGGGTCCAGGGTTGGGCTGAATTCCTGAGAGCAGTAACAACATTATTATCAGACCTAAAAAGTTAAATCTGGTCCTCTGGACATTCAAAAAACAAAACATAGCAAAACAAAAAAATATATATATGTAGAAACGTTTCGTCTTTCATCCGAAAGACTTCCTCAGTCTGAGGTGCTGTATTCAGCTCAGTCTTATAAATAGCACCTTCTCAGAGTGGATCAACCAGTTTGCTGCTGACAACCAAAACTGGACAAAGAGGAACGATAGTTTGAGAGAGGAGTAAAGGAGGCCATCTTTGTGAAAAGAAATTGTCCATCATTAAACAGGGGTGGAGGCCTCCATGTTCAACTGTCCCCCTCTTACAATGCTGTTATTGCTAGTATCACTCAGCCCCCTGTGAATAGTAAACCGCCATCAGGGTGCTAATGATCCATTGTTAGGCTGATGGCCCTTCTTGATCATGTGAGCAGCTGGTTTTGGTTGTCAGCAGCAAACTGGTTGATCCACTCTGAGAAGGTGCTATT